TTAATAATATAAAACTGAAGCGTCATCTTAGAAATATTTCTGCACTTCCTTTATCATCTTCCTGTCTGCAAGATAATGCCGTACTTGTTTAAATCTGCGTGTATTACCGTACACAAAACACTGAGAAGTGTTGTTATATAGATATATACTTACTTCTATGTTCAAGCCTATACAGTAGGCCAGGTAGACGACAAGATGTACTGATTAATTAATACCTGTAAGTAAGCCTCTGCAATTCTCTTCCTCCTGCCAAGCTTTAAACTGCTTCCACCGCGATTTCCTGTACGGCAACGACTACAGCCTTACATTAAAGATGATTTACATGATCATTAAGCAAAATGTGTATTAATGCTTTGTGTATGCAGCACTCGAGAACATGAGGTGACTTGCTGCTGGCTTTTCCTTTTAATTCTCACGCTGTTTGCCTTTATGGCCGTAAGTAAGTCTCAGTTAAAGTGCCAAACCCAACCCAACCGTTGCTTAGCAACTATACTCTATAGTAACTTAGTCACTAATTATTCGCCACAGTTGTTAAGCGCCTATTCTCTATAGTAACTATTTACTACAGTCCCTCAGCCACTACTCTCTAGAGTTAGTTATAAACAAACAAATATAAGCTTCTTATAACGTCATATGAGTGAACTATTTATGTCAATTCATCATGATTAGGTAGAGCATCACTGTCAAGAAAACCTTCCATAGATATAAGTGTAACATCACACGTGTAATAGCGTGGCTCATTTTATTCAGGTTTGTTTTAATACATTATAGCTCGTATGTATTAGCTGTCTATTATACCTTTTCGGCCCAGTATGGCCAGGTGGTTAGGGCGCTCGACTCGCAATCTGCGTGTCACGGGTTCGAATCCCCTTCACCAAATATGCTTGCCCTTTCAGACGTGAGGGTGTTATAATGTGACGGTCAATCTCCCTATTCGTTGGTAAAAGAGTAGCTCAAGAGTTGCCGGGTGGGTGGTGATGACTAGCTACCTTCCCTCTAGTCTTTCACTACTAAATTAAGGACGACTAGCGCAGATAGCCCTAATATAGCTTTGCTCGAAATTCAAAACAAACAATTATACCTTTCCGTCACGATACTTTGTGTAGGCCTAATAATTTCTTTGTATGTATTATACACACACATATATATATAATTCAAATATTAGAGACTGAGGCAGACTGTAAGGTTAAAACTAGCGGCCCATAATTAATCACACTTGAAGGTATTCGTGTAGTACGTACATATAGTGTAACTACATTCCCTCCCAGAGTACACGATTATCGCGTGCCGTTCACATATGTGTATACAATGTATGGCCTATAATTCCAGTAAATCTGAAGGACATAAGGCTTGTATTGGGTTACGTATCTCGTGATAATTTATGGTAAAAATCAATAACTGGGTGTTTTTCTTCGTGTGATTTTAAGTATAAAAGAGGAATAGGTCTGTGTCTTCATACTAACACTTGGCTACATTTACTTGTAAACAATTAAATTGGTCTTTCAGTAAGACGCTAGCAAAACATAACGTAATTTACATTTATCAAAAGAAGTTCATTTTTCAATAAAAGGAATATCATATGTAACTCAAACGCAGACACAGAAATTATAATATTTCTCAATTGTTAAATTCGAGAGCAAATTATAGTTAATCTATTTTGGACTATCATCCAAAAACATGACACGAGCCATGAGTACAATCGTATATCACACGCTCGGAAGGGGTTATATTTAATTCATTGTAAACAAATTCAGTACTGCCTTATTATCACGCTACCATCGGGAGTCATGTGCACCCGAGAGCGATATATGTGGGGGGAGCATTATATATAACCAAAACTAGCCAAGAAGGCACTCATGGTGAACAAGTACAGATTCAACAGATTACTAAAGCAATCCATTAAATAAAATAACTGACACTGAGCAGTATCTTGGTTTCACCCGTAAACAATTCTTTGAACTTCTTGTCCTCTCCATAAAGTTATACGTCCCCAGTGGCACAGCGGTATGTCTGTAGACTTACAACGCTATAAACCAGGTTTCGATACCCGTGGTGGGCATAGCACAGGTAGCGCACTGTGTACCTTTGTGCTTAATTATAAACAAACAAAGTTAAACCATTTCTTCTTTAATGACGTCATTTATGACCAGATAGATGGAATCCCCGCTGGGTCCAGCGATACCCAATAGCTTTCTATGCTTCCATGAACGTAAGTGGCTAGAAAACTGCCCATGTGACTTTAAACCTGTCCTTTACAAATGATATATCGATGACATTTTCTTGCTATTTCGACAATCGAGTCACATTTCCAAATTCCTTTTTTTTTATCTTAATTCCCAACGTACTAATACCAAGTTCACATCTGAACTTGATATTCACATCTCTGGGCTTTGCACTCGGGACTTGCCAGTTTTTTTCCCTATATTTTGTGATAGAATGTTAGGACTTTAGTCTCTGAAGTCACGTGGTATTGAGCTAAGCAGCATATGATACTATATTTTTGGGAGCCAAGGTACCACAGCATTATATCCGAGAAAGCGATAAATCAATGACGTTATAATGAGGCAGTAGTGTACATAATTATTATTATTTCTTATGTAGACGCGTGGTCGTTGAACCAAAAGATACTTCAACAGACTGGTACACAGTTTGAAACCCGCCAATGATAATAATAACAATAAAAGCGACAGTTGCCAAACATAATTTTTCATCACTTTTGTTACAGGCCGAAAAAGTTTATTATTTTTGTTTCGCCATATTAGGCGATACATGATAGTACTAAGTTTATGAATAACTCTGACTCAATGTGAAACTCCTATTACCTTTCTCTCTATATATATTTGTGTGTGTGTATGTATTACTCTTGTTGAAGGTGACGTATAGGTGTTAATTTTGGTGTTTGAGATATTAAAGGCCTGGCATGGCCTTGTGGTCAGGACACTTGATTCGTAATCTGCGTGTCGCGGGTTTGAATCTTGTCACCAAACATGCTCGCCCTTTTAGCCGTGGGCTAGTAAAGAATAGCCCAAGACAGGCGATGGATGGTGTTGACTAGCTGCCTTCCCTTTAGTCTATCACTTCAAATTAGGGACGGCTAGCACAGATATCCCTCGAGTAGCTTTGCGAGAAATTCAACAAAAAATCAAGCAAACAAGCATAGAGACATGTAAGTACCATTAGCCTTAGTCGAGTCAACTCTCAGCCAAACTCTCAAGTTACTACTGATCTAATCAAAAACACCTTAGGTGTAACAAAAAGGTGTGTCGAAAAAAAAGATTCAGCATGTGGCTTATAATAATGAAATCAAAATTGGCGACCAAAAATGGTAGCTATACTTATAGCATTAATAAGAATTTTACAGCAGATATTCATTCATCAGTTAGACAGGCTGCGTATTTTGTTTTACCCACCATTATGCCCCAAATTGAACAAAAAATGCAGCCTGGCTAACAAATGAATGAATATTTGCTGTAAAATTCTTATCAATGCTATAAGTGTAGCTACCAGTTTGGTCGCCAATTTTGATTTCATTCCTTTAAGTCACATGCTGAATCCTTTTTATTTTTTGGCTGCACCTTTTTTAACACCTAAGATGTTGTTGATTAGATATCATGACTTTTTGTCAATATCCCCTAACAAACCACACCAAATAAGAAAGTGACACTCGATAGTAATCCACATTAGCTTTAGGAATCGCAACCCTATTATTCGGAACAGACCTTTACTTTACAGAACCAACTAGATTCTTTAAAATATATGGTGGTAATTTTTCCTCTCTAACAGTGTTAATAGCTCCCTTTACAGGAACGCTATGGAATTTAGATTAAAAGATTCTTGTTATCAACCCCATGCAATCAGTACAGTCGTATCAAGTATCATTATTTACACTAATTGCTTAAGCTAATATCACGTGACGCTAAACGCTATTTAATTAGGAAAATTTCATAAAATTCAGTAAATTTGTGCTAAAACGTTGGCAATGAATAATCAATAATAACCGTCCACCCGTATGATTCTTTTGAAAACGTGAGCTAGAAACCGCTAATCTAGTTTGCATGGCCTAACCAATACTTATGTATCTCTACGTTCTTTCACCTTATAGTTTTGCTGTTATAAATCAACAGTCTTTAACCCGAATAACAAAACACTAAAAACGGTCCACTTTTACTCTTAAATGAAGCTGTAGTAAAAACGTTAGACCTATAGTTCACGTGACCTTTTGCGTGCGCAAAAAAATTGTCAAATTTGAGCAGTTTTTGTTGAATAACTTTACACATGTGGCCTTATATTTACACCAAATGAGATTCCTAACTGTAGATTGAAAAGATTTATCAGTGTAGCAAATTTGAAAAAAATCCATAAAAGTTAAGTATGTTTTTCTATCACATAAAGTTTCCGTACTTTGGTGCGAAGAAGAAAAAAGGAAGAAACTCAATCAAAATTTGAGATGTTATATCTCAGGTATTTCTAAATGGATTGCCTTGAAATTTGGTGTGTATAGTAAGAGTCCAGTAAAGCACATCTACTGAAAATATTTAATAGTTTCTATTAGCACAGTCCGAGATACAGAAGGTGGAAAGCTATTACTTCCATTAATATCAAACATTGTGTGTTGCAGCAGGTTGTTTTGGCCACATGACACACTACCGTGTGTCTTAATGTTGAATATAATTATAGATAATGTTATTTTTCAGTTCAGTACAATTCTTGTGTGCTAGTTAAATTTTAAAAGAACGTAGCTGTTTGAAATAGTGTGAGATTAATTGTATTTTGTATATATGTCGAAACATATCCTTTCAAATCTGTTTGTTATTGTGGGAGATGATTTACCAATAGCCAAAACGAGCCATATTATATATATCTCCATACAACTCGGGGAAACTGGTGAGGCTCGAGTAGTTGTATTAGAACAAACTGGCGAATCACTTAAATAGCCGCATTTAAAAAACTAAAACAGAAAAGTTTTACTGTCCAAAAAAATAATGTAAGGAGACTCTTACCTCGATGCCGGTTCGTTTGTTTGTCAAACATAAGCATTGCATCTTCTATCTGTAAGATAGAAAAGTATTAGATTAGAGAGCGTTTCATAATCATTGGTTTGATTAATATTTATAAACAAATCACAATAACAAATTGATGCAAGCTTCAATATTTAATGTGGCATGTACTGTAATCCTCTATTTTTCTCTTATCAACCACTATAATATGAGTTAGTGGATTCTCATACTTAGATTCTACAGTATTAGTAAATGGCACATTCTTCTGTGTGCTATCTTTGTGTTAACGTATGGCTAAGTAAACAGACAACGTTATCCACATCATGTTAGTTAGTGACTAAAGGTTCTCTCCTAAATTACGTGATCAGTTACTGTAGTCAGCGACAAATAAAATACATAACACCTACTAGATGTGGTAAGTATAAAGGTGTTCAGTATGGATGTCATAGTAACTTCCAAAAAAGGAAAATCCAATTTGAACTTCAAGTTAAGTAAATGTGACTCAACACGTTACACGTGCGGAACTTCCTCTGTAACAACATGTTGTGTAAAGTACGAGAGATAACGTGAAGGAAACGAGTAGTATCTTACGTTTCTCTAATGTTTTAACAAAATTCGTTTTCTAAAGGAAGCTAATCTTCTCAAACAGAGCCTAAAAACACCATCTTCATTTATTAATGACCTGTGGAAGAAGCAAGACGATCCCGAACAAGTTGAAGTTTAGGTTCCTGCTGGAGATGCTGATAAGAACACCATCAAAACTTGTTGTATTAACTTGTCTAAACGTAATTCCAAATATATTTAAGCGTCTAACTTGATTGTTTTTTTCTTTCTTTTTTTGGAGTAAAAAGTAAAAATACAAAAATCGCTCATAACGTACTATGACGAACACAGAGGACGGCATTTTGCAGCAATATCATCCTCACCAGCGCCATCTGGATCAATACTATTTATTACTTATTCTATGAAGAAGCTAAATATATTTTAAAAGGATAAATGATCAGATGTATTGATAATGCTAAAACTCGGTGTTCAATCTCCGTAATGGCAGCTTTGTTCTTAACAAAAAAAAAAAACAAAACCAAACGGCTGTATATTTATTTATACCTATTTTACATCCAAAAAACATATTTACAAATTTTCCTGACTCTATGCTTTAAACGTCGGGACTCAAAACACTTTTGCTAAATTAAAAGGTTTTTGTTTCCCTAAATACATTTTACATGGCTACGATGAGTAAACTAATAAGCACGCGCTCATCAATAAACTTAATTAAAATTATCAGACTAAAAACAGCACGTTGTTGCTAGATGTAGCAGTCTTAGGTGTAAAGAGTTGTTTGTTTTCACCAAAAGTGTACCTATTTAATATACAATCGATGTTTTCTGTTTAATTTTTACGAAGAATTAACACCAGAAGATGTTCTGACAGTATTATAGTGGAGCAAGTGAATCTCAAGCAATAAACTGATTTTCAGAAGAGTGAAATCTATGCAGCAGTAGGTCTGTTTCTCACAACAAATACGAATGTTTTGCGATGGATAGAGCGTAGCCAGCTGGTTAGCGTGGCGATCTGTGGAACCGAGGATCCGTGGTTTGTGTCCCGTTGTTGTATAAAGAATTGCGTTCCGCACTTTGGGGAGATAGATGCGTTATAAGAGTAGCCCAATAGTTAGCAATGGGTGTTTTTGACTAGCTGCCTTCCTTCTAATTTATCAGTTTAAAATTAGGGACGGCTAGCGCAGATAACCCTTGTTTAGCTTTGGGCGAATATTACAAACAAATCTGTTTCGTGACAGAGGGTGCTCTACAAGTTTCAGGAATAAGTAGCCACTGTGTGCTTGAAATTCATTAACCTGTTGTTGCAGAGTTTTGTAAAACACTTTCTAATGTCGTTATTACACTTATCCTCTGACTTTGTTCTTTTCAGCGTTTTAAACATGTTAAGCATAACCTCATCCCACAATCTAAACAATAAATGTCCGAGTCACAACTTAATCTGTGCCTGAAGGTTGTGCTCAACAGAATTAATCAACTTTTAAGGCGGGAAGTGAAACGTATGTAGCCTTAATATGTTACTAATATTTATGAATTCGCAACACTGCTCCATTTGGAATATACATATATATATTTCAGATCTTGGCTATTTGTCCGGCTAGCCAGGTGAATAGTCAGTAGTCTGTCTACTGAAACAAATATCATCGATCACAAAATTCTGTCTTAGATATCCAGTTCAGTGTAACTTGTTTTATTTTCGTAGTTATTTATATTTATTATTTATCTTTACCTACTGAGGCAGATATGTAGTCAAGAAAATAAAAATAAAGTATCGATGAACAGTAAAAGCTGGACCGGTATAAACACAATCTGCACTCGTATCCTAGGCCTACACTGATATAGGTTTACGTTCGTATTCTAGGCCTACGCTGATAGATACAGACGATATTTTTCGAACTATATTTTTGGTCAAGTTCAAGTTCTATCTAAGGAATACAGTTTGCTTTCAATAACTAACAAATTATTGTATTTGTATGTGTTGTTTGAATAATAATAAACTTACTAATATATACAAATAAACAAGTAAAGAAAACAAGTATTTTTGTCATCTGAATAGGACCTGGTGGTCAGGGCGTTTGACTCGAGATCTACGGGTCGCAAGTCTGAGTCCCTTCATCGAATATGCTCGCTCTTTCAAGCGTGGAGGCGATATAACGTGGCGGTCAATCCAACTTCTCGTTGGTAAAACAGTAGCCCAAGAGTTGGCGGTGAGTGGTGTTGACTAACTGCCTTCCTTCTAGTCTATCACTTCTGAATTAGGGACATCTAGTGCACAAAGCCCTCGAGTAGCTTTGTGCGAAATTCAACAAAGAAACAAATAAACTGACATCTGAATAGTTTGCTGTCGCAGAACTCCTAGCTTACCGTGCTCACTAACTCTAAAATCCTTACGTTATGGTTCACTAATCATAAATTCCTTACCTTATGGTTCACTAATCCTAAAATTCTTACCTTATGGTTCACTAATCCTAAAATCCTTACCTTATGGTTCACTAACCCTAAAATCCTTACCTTATGGTTCACTAATCATAAATTCCTTACCTTATGGTTCACTAATCCTAAAATTCTTACCTTATGGTTCACTAATCCTAAAATCCTTATCTTATGGTTCACTAACCCTAAAATCCTTACCTTATGGTTCACTAATCCTAAAATCCTTACCTTATGGTTCACTAATCCTAAAATCCTTACCTTATGGTTCACTAATCCAAAATCCTTACCTTATGGCTCACTAACTCTAAAATCCTTACCTTATGGTTCACTAATCCTTACCTTATGGTTCACTAATCCTAAAATCCTTACCTTATGGTTCACTAATCCTAAAATACTTACCTTATGGCTTACTAACCCTAAAATACTTACCTTATGGCTTACTAACCCTAAAATACTTACCTTATGGCTCACTAACCCTAAAATACTTACCTTATGGCTCACTAACCCTAAAATCATTACCTTATGCCTCTTCATATAATAATATTCAAGTAGTTTTAAAACATAAAATGACATCTTTAATTTCTCTTTTAACCCCTCTTTGTTTGTTTTTTAGAAGATTCGATTGTCCAGGAATCTCTTATGTAGAATTCTCATTTTATTTGTAACTCATACTGACGAGTATCATCGAATTCATCACATGTTTGTTTGTTTGTTTGCTTGTTTTGAATTTCGCGTAAAGCTACACGAGCTAGCCGTCCCTAATTTAGCAGTGTAAGACTAGAGGGAAGATAGCTAGTCATTATCACCCACCGCCAACTCTTGGGCTACTCTTTTACCAACGAATAGTGGGATTCACCGTCACATTATAACGCCCCCACGGCTGAAAGGGCGAGCATATTTGGTGTGACGGGGATTCCAACTCGCGACCCGCAGATTGCGAGCCGAGCGCCATAACCACCTGGCCATGCAGGGCCTTCACATGATTGAAATCTATCCCCCATATAAAACGTAACATTTTCAGCCATATTTTCTGCATCTTTGCGCTTTTTTGCGATGTCCTGCTGAACTTGAGATAAGTATGCACATACACATTGTGGTAGCCGGACAAATAGTCACTTCGTATATTTTAATGCCAAGTAAAGATGCTGATAAGGATAAGAGAATGTACTGAGATTAATAGATAAAAACTGAGAAGTGTATGAAGTTCTAAATAATTTTCGTTGTTTGAAAGACAGCTATTGTTGTAAATAAGCATCTGTACCTTTCTACGAAAATAATGTTTGTCGTATGAAAGACGGCTATTGTTGTAAATAAGCATCTATAAGTTTCTCGAAAGTAATGTTTGTTGTTTGAAAGAAGGCTATTGTTGTAAATAAGAATCTGTACTTTCTACGAAAATAATGTTTGTTGTTTGAAAGACGGCTATTGTTGTAAATAAGCATCTGTACCTTTCTACGAAAATAATGTTTGTTGTTTGAAAGAAGGCTATTGTTGTAAATAAGAATCTGTACGTTTCTACGAAAATAATGTTTGTTGTTTGAAAGACGGCTATTGTTGTAAATAAGCATTTGTACGTTTCTACGAAAATAATGTTTGTTGTTTGAAAGACGGCTATTGTTGTAAATAAGAATCTGTACGTTTATATGAAAATAATGTTTGTTGTTTGAAAGAAGGCTATTGTTGTAAATAAGAATCTGTACGTTTATATGAAAATAATGTTTGTCGTTTGAAAGAAGGCTATTGTTGTAAATCAGAATCTGTACGTTTATATGAAAATAATATTTGTTGAAGAACTAGGTAACAAAAAATTATGGTGTGAACGTCTTTTGTAAATTGGCGAAACATGATTATAATTATTACTTGTCACAAAACCTATCATATTAGTCCTATTATACTTTTACCATTATACGCTTAATTCAGTCTTTTAGGGTTTTCAATATCAATTGCCGTCGCCACACTTCGCTCAGTACAGAGCTCTTCAGGATACACGCACGGTAGTGGTCGAACCACTGTTTATTTAAACCGTTTGCTACAACTACATTTATGGTGTGAAAGCCTCATC